ATCTCAGACCTCACATCCTAACTCCACATCTCTCCTCCTTCCCAATCAACATCCAAGCTCCGACACGCCTTGATGGGCATGGGCATGCACACACACGCGCGTGCGTGCGTGCATGCATGTGCTACTTCCTCTGCCTTCCTCTCTTCTATTTTTGTTGCTGTTTTTCAAATATCCACCAGTCCCCCCCCCCATCTCCTTCTGCCTCTAGCCTTCCTCTCTCTCCATTAGCCCACAAAAAAAACATACTATTGGTTGCCATGGGACCCAGTTGCCACGCAGCAGCGAGGTTTTCACATGGTCCACACGTGTGTGCATGCCCATGCCCATCAAGGCGTGTCGGAGCTTGGATGTTGATTGGGAAGGAGGAGAGATGTGGAGTTAGGATGTGAGGCCTGAGATCAAGCTGCACATGTCACACACACACACACACACACACACACACACTTAGGCTATATGTGTGTGTGTGTGTGTATGTGTGTGTGTGTGTCCAAAGTCTTTTAAAGACAAACACTCACACACACCTCCATCATCTTACATCAGGTCAATGAGGCTTTGTCTGTAACTACAGGTTTTGAGAAAGCAAAGTCGGGGATAATGGAGGTATATGACGATGGAGAGAGGAAAGACGGATGAGGAAAGAGTCAGAAGAAGTTAAGGAGAGTGGTATTGACCAGAGGCAAAAATCGATACGCAGCCTGTCAAGATAAGGCAGTGGATTTGGCTGCCACACCTCCCAATTCGACAGCGTGTCCATCTGAGTGCAGCGGTGTCACCGAGCGTGACGAAAGAAAAGAAAAGTTGTGATTTCAGGGGATTCTTTGACAGCGCTGATTGGCTGATCCATAAATTAAAAAAAAAAAGTGAGTGTGGAGTCATTGGAAATTGGAAAGTCAGGCGCCCCTCGGTTTGCCAGATATGAGAGCAGTTATCAGGTCAAACCAACAGGTGTTGTAGTGATGGAAGCGGGCAAGAGAAGTGGTTCAGATAGAAGTGATTGTACCCGACCTAAAAAGCCTCTGCATGTTTCTAATAAGCTCCCTATAGCTCTCTATAATGTTTAGAATTTAGACGGCAGTACCCATTTTAAACACTAGGTGTCAGAGTTACATATTTCTCCTTTAACATGGAGGAGGCGAGGCTTATCTTATGACTTTTACTGCAGCCAGCCAGAAGGGGGAGCACCGAACATTTTGGCTTCACATTAAGGGAGCTATCTTGTCATCCATTTTTTTTACACACTCTATGGCTTGCACTCAAAGTTAGCTAAACGCTAGATTCCTTTCAAACTAAATTCAAAATGCTTCATGAATAGAAACATTAATTGGTCTGATTTTAAGTGAATAGCCTGAATACTGTTTGTTAAAATAAAGAAACTGGAAGGCAAAGCGGCTCAAATCAAATTCCACTGAATTCATTAAATGCTCATATTGCCTATACCGGTAACTTATCACGTTGCTGTTACAGCTCCCAGAGAGGCTACAGGAAGTAGGTTAAGGCTTGTTACTGTTTTGAAATGTGTGCTTTGGTCCATGCTGGTCACTGGTGCATTGTGTGTTTGCTTATTAGCACACAGATTTGGATAATTAATATTTTGTAAACCCACTTATAATTAACTTTGGTTGTGCATGAGATGTAGGGAGCATAATTTACACTCAGAAATTGTTGGTTAATGTAATAAGGCTGTTGTGGAGTCACTGAGGCATGCTGGTTGTAAGACCGCAGAGTTTCAGATTAACATGGTCGCCGACAGGCACACACACACTGATCACACACACACACACACGGAACACACACGATTAGGTTTCTCTGTTTTGTCTCCAACGGGTGGAAAAGCTCAGTTGAGACATGAGCCAGAGGGTTTATTTAATGTGATCAGGAGGCGTGTCTGTCTGCTACCACCTGGTGTGTGAGATCATGTTTTATAACTTTACAGCAGGCTTTAAAGGCTTATGTCAACGTCTGCCAATTAGATGGATACACACCACCATGCTGATGAATATGCATGGCCATAAGATACCTGCACACACAAGCACATCCACAGGAGAGCCGTGCAGCTATTCGACTAAAGTGCAGGCCTATAGAGATCACATTAGGACTCTTGTGAGTTTCAAATTGAAGCTGCTTCGTCTTCTCCTGTGGCTTTGTCTTCTCCTCTCGTCACTAATTTTAGATTCCTTTTCTTTCTCACCCTCCCGCGCAGCTCGCTCTGAGGAGGAGTACCAAAGGAAAAGAGGAGGAGGACATGTTAACAATGAACACAGTTCAAAACGTTGACGTGATAATAAACAAATGATGAATTGAAAGAGAAGCTCGGTGTCAGCAGTTCTATCTTAAGTCGACTTTGTATCATCTTGAACTTGCAACACAAGAATAGAAAAGGCTAAAGCTGCTAATAAACGTATTGTTGAATAAAGGAAATTTGATTCACTTCAGATACGCAAAATGATTATCAGAATTTACACCTCAAGGTGAAGCTGGGTTTTATGTTTATATTAGTTGCTGTCTACTTTCAACAATAAAAATCCACCCAGTTGTTTGAAAATATTGTGTCGACAGAATCGTAGACGTCCTTGTGCGTCCCTTTCACGTGTGTCCCCCGAGCTTTCCATCAAACTGAGACGACACAGTGCCGTTAATGGTCACATGTCCGGTCACTTTGCACTCTCAGGGTTGATCTGTAGCCTAAAGTGTTCCCCTCTTATGTACATGAGTTTGGGATGAACCTGATTGTGTACATGTTTGTATTAGCTCCAAAGGCTTATACATATATTTATCTTTTTTGTACATTTGGACAACTCTATAAACACAAGAAGTCTGCTGGGCGGCATGCAGTTTGGACCTGTTAACATCTTCTTCCCTTGATAGTGACCTTTTTGTCTTTTTTAGATGACTTGGCTCTTTCTGATTTGCTTGAATTACATATTTTTTTGCCACCACAGCAGTTGCCTTGCCCAAAGGCACCTCGGCAGTACTCGAGAAGTGCCCAGACATTTTACAACAGGACCTGAATTTGAGCACTTTTATCCCTTATGGACACTTTAGAAATATTATTTTTAACCGCCCAATACCTGACTGTAGCTGTTTTATTTGATTTGAATTACTGACTTATCACTGTAGTAATTTCAAGCTTTTAAATTATTTTAGTGTATATATTTTATTGTTCTTATTGCTCTTTTATTGATTTTATTTTCTGTAGTAGCTTTATCTCATTTCTCGTTGTTTATCATTTATGTATGTTTTCTCGACATCATTGTAAATGAGGGTCACCCTCAATGATCTCTCCGAGAACTTAAATAAAGGTTGATGATGATGATATCACCAAGAAAATATGCAAGAAACTTTTCCTGACATTATCAGCAGCTCCAGATCTAAAATGTGTTCCCTCAAAAGGACGAGTCAGATGAGTTTCTTCTTGGCCATTGTTGTTGACAAAGCTGATATCAGAAGTCCCGCCCCTTCTTGATTCTGATTGGTCGATGAGGGAGAAGTGACATTGATGAGTGTGACAGTGTTCCAACAGTTGAACTTATTTCCACTGGGCGCTGCTGAGCACTGAAAGCGCTGAACTGCTTTGGTTTTGGATCTAAACTGGGCGACAGAGGCCCTCAAACACATCGTTTGACACTTACTCTCCGGCAGCAGCTTCAGACATCCATATGCAAGAAATGCTCGCTGTTTAAGCTGATGGTCACGTTTGATTCTGATGGTCCTAAAAAAGGCTTCAATATTAAATTTCAATCTGTTCCATAACCAGCCAGAAAACTCCTCACAGGAGCTTTAAGTTAATCAGAGTCATAGTTAGGCCTGTCACCTCTGTCAATGCGCATTAAGAGGAATAGTGTTGAATGAATGATGCCAGTTGGCTGCTTATACCCGGGACGCTAAGCCTGTGACCGACACGTGGGACAGAGTTAGCACATAACAAGGACGCCGTGATCCCTCTCGCTCCCACACATTGTTGATCTCTGGCTCTTAGTGTGGCAGGTTAAACAGCTTAGGGGATAAACTGGCATCATGGAAGCTACCAATGTGTGAGAAGACGGAGAGCATTAACACAAAACACTACACTGGGTTACAGTATCTCAAACACGCCTCAGACACGGTTCTTTCTACTCACTCACAGCTCTGAGTTAGCTTACAAAAGTCTGAATCCTGTTACTGCCGGCTTCTGATCTGAACCCCGAGCTAAGGATGTTGTTAATGAATCTTTTGAACTGACTTTTGGAAAAGCTCTTCCTCCGTCTGTGCTGTGAATGGTTGTAAAAAAAAAGTCCTACTCCCTGTGCATGACTTTGAATGTAGTCCCGCTGGCTCTGCTGTCTTACAGTGATCCTGAGTATTATGACAACGCTGGAAGGCAATCCTCACTCCACCACAGCACCAACAAATATTTCCTATAGCTTTAAAATCCACAGCTAAAAACCTGTGCAAACCGAAGCCCTGTAATGCTCTTACAACCAGGAGCTGGAGCTGATTTTGGTTTGTTCCTTCAGCTTGAACACACAGCGAAGCACTCCTTCCTCATCTGTCGGGAACATGGCCTGATTCATTTCTGCGGCCTACCCTTCGACATCCAATACCGGGAAGCAGCGCTCTCCCTCCTGTCCAGTAACACCCCCGTGGAAACATACTACCAGGCCGAGTTCCATTTAAACAGATCCGCCAGCCTTGGCCCCGGTCCCTATTTCCTGCTGTGGCGCCTGTCCCCGGGTTCCAGCCCCAGTTCTTGCCCTCTCCCCCAATGCACTCTTGACCAGTGCGCCCATAGCAGATGGAGAGTAAAGAAAACTGTGTCACCACCAGCCATGACTCGCTTAATCACCCCTCCCCTTTTTTCTTCCTCTTGACTCTCTCTCTCTCTCTCTTTCTATCCTCCCACTCCCTCCGTCCCTCACTCCCAGGATTTGGAGCATCAAACATTGATTTGTCTTTATTTTTAGAGCAGCTGTGAGGGTATGTGCGTGCGTGCACCATATTTGTTTGTGTGTATCCGCATACCAGACGCTCGTCCATGCTGGCTTGTGGTCAGTTAAACTGTGTTTGGGTGCATCACTGTGTGTGCGTTTGCGAATGTCACCGGCTTCTTTTCTTTTTTTTCTGAGTTAATCCCTTAAGAAGAGGTGTGGTTCTCTTCCTCGCTCTGCGCTCCCTCTCCTCTCCGTCCCTCGCTCTGAACGTAATATCATCACATGCTCTCTCTCGCTCCTCTCCTCCTCCTTATTCTTTTCTTGTGCTGTTGTTAATGCTGTGGCCGCTAGTCCGAGGGAGTACTTCCTCTCAGCTTGTCATCTCTGCATCTCCTCTCATCTGCTGACCTTTCTCTGTGAGATGAGTTCTTGTGGCGAGATGGGGGAGGCCATCGAACTCAGGTGAGTGAAATACAGGGTAGGAGGTGTGCACTGCGTTGTTCTTGCACGTGTCGGTTCAGAAAGTGCAGGTGCTTTTTGAATCTACACATACATTTATCTATTCTCGTGCATTTCTGTGTGTGACTGTGCACCTGGGTGTATTGTGGTTTCAAACTGGGTCAACTGTTATCATCGCATTCAACACCTTTGGCCATTTTTCTCAGCTTAGCCTCTTTTTCTTTTCTGCTCATAAAGTTGACCCTTTTTTTTAAACAGGCGTAAATCTGCAGGCTCTGTTGAGGTCTGTGAGAAATCTGTGATTTTACTTGATACTGATTGCTCTGGTTTGTTGTGGCTGTTGTTGTTGTTTGCTTTTGGCTACAGGGGTAATGTTCAGTCGCTGCCAAACTGATAATAGGTCTAGTCCAGCCTGTATCTACGGGGCTCATAGCGGCTAATAGCCTAAGCAGATGCATTAGCCCCCATGCGCATATGGAAGAGATTAAACCTGCTAGATTGATTCAAACACCCAACATTTTTCTGCTCTTGTATGACGCAAGTGCATGCATTTCTGTGCTTTTGTTCATTTTGTGCCCTTCCACATCTTTCATGCATCCCTCTGTAGATTAGATTTGTGTTTTTAAGCCTGCTAATGCTAACAGGCTAATGGGAGCGCGGTTTACTCACAGTTTCTCCCAAATGTAACACTTCCTCTCTTTTTCTTCCACTCTATTCTTTCTCTGCCCTCATGATTATATAATGAATAGGACAGCTCTCATGTGTGCTGCAAAAAAAAAAAGAAGCGAGAGATAGAGCAAGGAAGAGTGAGAAAACTGCAGACGACAGAGACCTGTGTGGTGAGTGAAACGAGGACAAACGAAGATCAGCAGGACGGAGACTCAACAGGAGGGAGAGGATGAGAGGAGGGAGGTGTGAAAGAGAGAAAGTTTGAGAGGGAAGGGTGTAAAATGGGATGTGAGTGCGTGTGAGGAATAAAATCAAGTAGAGAAGATATTAATAATAGCTTTGCTCTTTTATCATCACCTTCAGCGAAAATGTATAACTTGAGCGTCTTGAAGAGAGAAGGAACATAACAAAACAGGCTCGATAAGTCTTACAAAAAAAGAGGGGAAGGAAACTTGCACAATGTGAATTTTTTCGACAATGCATCAATGTTTAAGAGAGACACAAATTCCAAGTTCAGCTGCAGAGCCACGCCAGATCACTTGGCGCTCTTCTCTGAACCCAAGAGGCTGACGTAAAATCAGCACAATGCAAACACGAGGGTGGGGTTGACAACACTTTGAGAAATTACAGCGGCAACAATAGGCTATTTAGTTCAGGAACATGTGTGAGCGAAGTGCATTTTGATATCAAGTTTGGATTCTTAAGTCCTTAAAGTAAACTCCCATTGTCCAGAATAAACTTTTATCGAAAGCAGGAAGTGTCAGTTAGTGGAAATATGGAGTTTTCCAGCATTGTTAGAATGATAATAGTTGTATATATAATGTCCCTGGTTTGTGGGTCTCATCTTTGACCCGAGAGGAGGCTTTGTATAACACTCTCCTCTGTCGTATCAGACATGTAGTACGGTTGATAAGCAGGCCTGTAACACTGGTCTAGACTGATAGGAAGGAATACAAAGTGTGAACGCAGCGCAGCGATAGTGGAGCATATCGACTAGACTGCTCTACTTCATGCATGGCTGCACCGTGTTTGGATTAACTTCCACACACACACAAACACACACACACACACGCCTGTTCCCCATCATAGATACGGATACACAGGGACATGCATGCAGACTTAACGCCTTGTCATGAATGCAGGAGCACGCCATTCATACATGAATGCATACACAGGTGCACATAAAATCACAAACACACATAAAGCTATTATGGTAGGTGCCCTCTCTGCCTGCTGTTCCAAGGGCACAGGGGGATTGTTATGTTAATCTGTTTTCTCTCTTTTCATTTGAGTCTTGGAACCAATATACACACACACACACACACACACACGCAAGAGCACACACACACACACACACCTGTACAAGCATAATCAAGCGTGCAGAGACTTTTTGTGCAGCAATGCAATAATGTGCAGAGTGAAGAAGAAGAATAGATTTCATACAAAAAGAGAGAGGAAGAAGGTTGCCCTCTCTCTGTCTCTCTCCCACACACACACACACACACACACACACACACACACACACACACACACACACACACTCTAACACACAATGCTCTCAAGGCTTAACTTTGGTGGGTGTGAATTTAAACAGAGACGGGGAGGGGCAGTGACACAGCACCATGATAAGCAGGGAGGGAAAAGGATAATAGGTGTGGAAGCAGTCCGTGCGTGTGTGGGTATGTGTGTGTGTGTGCGCGTGTCAATACACACATGGGACTCTCGCAGCTTCCACACGTCTCCTAGGCTTCTCTCTCTCTCTCTCTCTCTCTCCCTCTCTCTCTCTCTCTCCCTCTCTGTGAAGCTTATACAATCACTTGAAATTTCTCAGCTAAACCCTATTTGCAGAAAAGACTGGGAAGCAGATAATTTTAATTGCAGGATGTTTTCTCAGACTCCCAGCGTTGCCAGTCCGCTCGCCGTCCCTTTAACTCAATTTGTGTCTTAAATGAGCGAGGCAGGAAGAGAATGAACTATGAGCTGTCAAACGACTTCATGTCAGCTGCTTTTCAGAAGTTAATCATGTTTATAAAATTCCATCGTATATCTTAACTTTGTAATGTCTTAAGCTAAGGGTACTTAACTTCCTGTTTGGATACAAACCTGCTTTTATTTTGAAACAAAATAAGAAACTTCTTGCAGATTGCTAATGTGCAGGCCCGTCTACATGAATGGCTGGCTCCCTGAAAGGTCAAGTGAATGGGCCCTCCACAGGTGTCATTAAATAATATCATTACACACCTGTTGGATCAGTAGCATTAGCGTTAGCCTCCTGGCTCACGTTCACCTCCTCTGCCTGGCTCTGATCAGCTTTTAGAGCTTACTTTAAAAACATTTGCTAACAAGTTACTTTCTGGGTCAAATGCCGCCTTTCTATTCTGGCACAGCCCGACATTACTGACCTAATAGATACTTTCAATGGGCTCACCCACAACTTTAATGTTCATAAAAGTGTTCCTACCCTTTTAAGAAAGGGGGATTCACATTTAGAAACAGGCAACAATGAATAAAACGTGTGTCTTTGTTGTGTTTATAGGTAATGCTGATTATTTAGGTTTAAAAACATTTGTTTTGTTAGCTCGTGTGTTAGCCTGCCTCCTAGTTGAACATTGTACTTATTATATACGTATTTGCCGAACAGTAAACAGAGTTGTCTCTGCACAAAAGTGTTTAGCGTGCAGATAAATCAGCTGAGAAGTTGGCTCATTTTCCTGACGGTTTAATGCGGTCGGATTTCTTGTAGTAGCCAAGAGAGTCTCCCCCTGCTGGCCATTCGAAAGGATGCAGTTTGCACACACTTCCCCACCAACTTCTGAGATACAGTCTGTATACTTTCTTCAAAACGCTTCTTCCATTTCAGTTAAGTCTTTCATAGGTGACACAGCTTTCATGACTGTGAGGGTATTCTTAAATGCGAGGAAAAATACACATTTTGATGGGTTGAGAATGTTGTTTCCTGAGCAGTCTTTGGTTTGTTATTTTTCTTGGTTATTCGATAAAACACGAGGACCACTGTCAGTGTTTGTGCATTTACCCCCCCCCCAGACAGAATCCATCCAGGATCGTCAGGCTGTGACATTTCTCTGCTGCTCCTCCGTTCCTCTGTTACTGTAATAGTGCAACACATTCCCACACTGAGTCACAGAGGCCATTCAGTCTCATTATGCAAGAAGACCACCCACCTATAATTATATTGAGACAGCTCCCCATTCTTTACCCATGAAGCGCCGACCCCCACCCCCTGAAAGATCATATTGCATTAGAGGGTCAGAGGAAGGACAGGATGTGTTTGCGTGTCTACCCGTCAGTGTTGAGGTAATTGGCGTTCACCATTCTGACAGTGGGACACTCGGGCTCATCCTCCTCTTAATTCATTTAACTTTTTATCTTTCTTGATGACACATCTTCACAGACTGTGGAACAAAAAACACAAAATGAAAAATATAATTCCTCATTAAATGTGAGTTAAAGCAAGTCACTTGACACTTTTCTGAATACTCAGACGCTTAACAAAGAACAACAACAAAACAAAACAAACCAAAGAAGAAATAGTCCAAGAGAAGAAGGACGAGAACAGAGATTGTTTGTGGTTGTAGGTGATGTAAAAGAGGTCAGCTTTTAGGGGTTTCTTGAAGGTGGAGAGTGAGGGGGGCAACTGATTTTTTTTGGGAGTGAGATCCAGAGGGTGGGAGCGGCAATGGAGAAGGCCCTATCCCCCCCAGGAAGGATGGTTAGGCCTGCAGGGTGGGACAGGAAGTTTATGTCAGCAGACCTGAGAGTGTGTGTGGAGGAGGTCAGACAGGTACTAGATGGGAGCGAGGTTATGGAGGTCTTTGTAGGTGATAACAATATATATAAAACAGTGAGTGTCTCCCTGTTTTCTTTCTGTTAAATTGAATAAATAACCTTACACTCAGCACTGGAAACTCTCAATGCAAGTGAATACAATTGACTCTGTGAATAATTCATCCTTCAGTACCTGAAAAAAAGAAATCAAGGACATGCCAGTGTTTCATTTTATTCACTTCTTTGAGAAATGTTGAGAGCTGCAGCGCCGCACAGAATGAGCTCTGCAGAAAAAAGGGCAGAAAAAAAGAGAAAAGGTCCGCACACTCACACTGGTCAGCTCCCGATGGCAGTTTTATTCAGCAACGCTTTAATCTGCTACATCTTCCTCTGGCAAATGTGGCAGGAGACAAATGGTCTATTCTCTTCTTCTTCCTGCAGTCAGTACTTTTTTTTTGTTTTTTGTCCTGCACCTGTATGTGCATTTTTGCCTGGATGTGTGTGTGTGAGACAGGAAGAGAGAGATTGACAGAGACAATAGTCACAGT